CTGTTTGGCTAATTCGGTATGAAAATCTAGCCAATATCATTTGATTAGCCAAAAAACAAAAGAATACAACAATGATAGCTTTAGCATAGATTTGTTTTAGTTTTGGCTAATTTTGAATGAAAATATTCAGCAACTATATCTATACTGTATATATATATTTATAATTATATATATATTGTATATATATATATATATACTGTATTTATATATACACTTTATATACATATATACATATACTGTAGTATCTGTATATATACTGTATATAGATATATGTATACATATATATTATATACTATATTATATATATTATATATATATATATAAAATCAATAAAAAATCAACATATTATATATATATATATATGATATTGAAGGAAGTTAGCCGTTAACACTGTTGAATAAATATAATATAAATCATCAAAGGTACATATACAGTGTCCTTATTAAACAATGTATATGTACCTTTGATGATTTATATTATATTTATTCAACAGTGTTAACGGAACTTCCTTCAATACCATATATAATATACGACAGTATTTCTAGCCGTATTTCCAGATTTATCTGGCCGAACGCCCTCTTGAGGCATAGCATTGTGTAATACAATATTCCCGACGGGTATTTGGACCTGTTCAACCATGAAGCCTTCGTGGTCTAGTGGTTATGACGCTCGCCTTGTCAGAGAGAGGTCGCAGGTTCGAATCCCGTCTGAGGCATTTTATTACACAATGATTTTTCATAGGATTTCATTCGTTGAAAAGCTACAGGGTAGCCAACGATGTTCCATCATGTCCTTATTATATATAATATATATAATTAGAATAACGATAAAGAAATAAAGATTTTGAATAAATAGTTCACAAATAAATAGTAGATACCTACACGGCTGCTCATTCTATAGTAGTAAGATTTGTCCTTAATTATGTATTAAATCATTATAGCCTAATAAACCGGAAGTCGGATCTATAGACTTTAAGTTATTCAACGTGATCTCTGAAAACGACGACCATTCAGTGACCACGTTTTTTGATCTGTTTGTGTTAGTTTCGGCTTTAACGAATAAATGGGTAGGAAAAAGGAGCTGTCAGACCTTGGGAAAAGAGGAAAGGGCAAAAAGTCTAAAAAACAGGGAGAGCCTCTTCTCACCGGAGTTTTTAGAGGTAAAATAACAGACATGTTTCCAGGCTACAGTAGCCTAGGAGGAGTAGTAATAGGCCAACGGTTTCCTCGCCTCCTGACTGGACCAGTGTAGTGACAGTTCAGTGTACTGCACGGGCGCCAAGTTAGGCCTAGACTAGATAGACTAGAAAACTTATAAGCTAGGCCTAGCCTAGGACAGGTAGGGCTAGGCTAGTAAGTAAAATACAGTAGGTAGCTAGTAGGAGGACCTTATTATATGCCTAGGTTAGCCTATTAATTAATTATTATAAGTCAATCCTGACGTCTCACTGTAACTCCCAATGTTATTTGCCTATTCCCCAGCGTCCACTAATTTTTCAATTTGTGGACGCTCAGCTTCATTTTTTCGTCACCGTGAATACATGTGCACCGCGATAAAAATTGAATTGTAATTGAAAATTACTTTCGTAAAACAAGCTTAATTAGAACCCGAAGAAAGTTACTTCAAATTCAGTATTAAGTAATGAACAATTGAGGAATTCATTGAATCAATAGACCCTCATAAACACAACAAACTGAATGTTTTTAAACGTTTTTAAAATAGGAATATTCTAGTCTAGACCTATTTTAAAGACTCAAGGAACAAATTTAGATGTAGGCCTACGGCCAGGCAGGAGGCCGCCCGGGCCTCCTCCTATACTACTAGTACTAGGCTGTAGCCTAGCCTAGTTATGAAATCATCGCACGATTTTACCTGTCTGCATGCACCAACCAAAAAGGACGTCAGTGACTGTATTCTCTCTCGAATGCTGAAATGTTTATTTCTTTGACGAAAGTCTATCAAAATAGCAATTTTACAAACAAGTTCTTTCTAACACAAAAGTTATTCATTGTATCCGTACTGTACTGCTGATGTGTAGTTAATTAAACGCGTACTGCAGGAGCAAACAGCATACGCACAGCTAAATGTAATTACACACGTGTATACTGATCATATCACTATAGCAACTGATGACTGCTACAACAGTTGGTTATAAAAAACTAAAAATTATAAGACGGCGATTGACTTTTAAAGCAATTAGTGGAGCATCCATCGTACGCTTAATGGAAAATTATTATTTACTTCGGTTAGATTTAATGCATTAAAACAATTTTTCAAGCATTAAATCTATCCTAACAGCGACAAGGAATTTCAATTATATTATAATTTCAACACACCCTGTTAAGACATGCTAAATTTGCACTGCTTTCTTGTTATGGATAGGATTAGTAGTATTTTTGGTGTGAATCAATTCACACCAAGGATAACTCACTAAGTCTGAGGACTTTTTTCTAGTGGAGTCCTTCTGGTGGGGAATTGGGGAGTACACCGGGTGACAATCCCCTTACTCTTTTCCGAAGAGTGTACTGCGTTCTTTAACATGCAGATTGGCTATATTGCACACGGGACCAACGGCTGAAACATCTCATCCGAAAGACGGTGTGTGCTATTGTATCTTGTATTTCAGCCCTCCAAATAAAAAAACAAGGAGAGCAACGGATGGAATTTTACCGGGAACCAAAAGGTCTCCACGGCTCAGCGCACACACAGTGGCTACCACCAGTTTAGACGACTGAGCTATGGTGCTCAAAAAACAGGTTGCATGTGCAGATGTACAGTATGCATTTAAATCAAGTATACATTTAAATCAAGTATACCATACTAATTACACAGTAAACTGATTAATGCTTCCGTAGTCATAGCTTTTTTAAATCTACCCTTCGTATAATAATTTTCCTATAGTGTACTATGCAGAGCTCTACTAATTGCTTATTATAGGGTAGACTAGCTTAGGCCCTAGCTAGAAGGCTGACTTAGGAACCTAACTGGACCAAGCCAACTGTACTAGGGCCTAGTCCTAGCCATACAGTATCATGTTTATTAAAATATTACAGTTTAATTGTCTTTAATTAGGTCTAAGGAACTGTAGAGTAATAGTAAAGCTAACTACTAGGCCTAGGCTCTAGGCTATTGTAGGGCCTAGCCCTAGGCCTACAGTATGCCTAGTTAAAAAAAAAACACAAAAAAACGGAAACAGGTTTAATGTTTCGATCTATTTGATGATTTTATTAAGAAGACTGACTAGGGCCTACTACATCTAATACAAGACTGCGGGCCTCCATATTGTAAAGTTTTTAAATTTGTGGATGATACATCAATAACCAGCTCAAATTTGTGCAGAAAATCGTTTAAAAAAATAGGTCCGCGAATTTGTAAATACTGCTTAAAACACATTGTTTATATATAAGGATTTCAAGCTTAATTTTCGGCAAAAACATTGCGAAAATCGGCCCTTTTTTACCAAAATGGTTGGACGGCCAAATTTTTGCGTTCAGGATATTTTCCCATCGCAGGCCTTTCAGTCTGGTAAGGCGTGCGTAGGAATATATCTGTCTTGCGCGTACAAATTAGGCCTAGTAATCTGTATCTAGTCAGTATGCTCATTTCGGAAAATAAGAGCCGATTTTGAAAGAGGTTTTGACCTTTTCTTAAACCAATAGTTAACCTAGACACAAGTTCTCAAATTGACAGATCTGTGTCAGATCATAATTAGTACAAGTCAAAGGCCCCCTTAGCTACAGTAGTTGCTATGTCCTAGCCTACTGTAGCTATGTTTATATTAAAATATTACAGTTTTATTGCCTGTGATTAGGAAAAATTGATACTGTAGTGTTTTAATCTAAACTCTAAAGTAAAACTAGCCTACTGTAGCCATATGTTTATATTAAAATTCTTTATTATGGTTTTGTTGTCTTTAAATAGGAAAAATTCTGTAGTGTTTTAGGAGTAAAATGAAAATATACAGTTCTGGACACAACCAACCAGTGATTTTACCTCAAAAACCATATTACACATGGTATTTCAGAAGTTTTATGATTTTGTTATGACCAATGTATTATGCAGTAGTTACGATTCTTCACACCTATTTTGCTAGCAATTTTTCACACAATTTTGAGCCAGGATTTGAATTATCCACGCAAATATAAAACTTTACTGTATGGTACTAGTATAATTAATTATTACTGTATTAGTATATGGTAATGTTTTTTTTCTTTTAAGATGTTGTTGAAAAAGAAGATAAAAAGATGGGAAGGCGTGCTAGAAAAAGGTGAGTTAATTAAAATACTACTAGTAGTAAAATGAAAACGCACAGGCATGCGCAGCGACAAAAAATTTCAATTATATTATAATTTCAACACAGCTTGTTAAACACATGCTAAGTTTGCACTGCTCTCTTGTTGCGGATAGGATTAGTAGTATTTGGTGTGAATCGCACCAAGGATAACTCACTAAGCCTGAGGACTTGTTTCTAGTGGAGTCCTTCCGGTGGTGAATTGGGGAGTACACCGGGTGACAATCCCCTTACTCTTTTCCGAAAAGTGTACTGTGTTTTTCAACGTGCAGATTGGCCATATTGCACACGGGACCAACGGTTCAAACATCTAATCTGAAAGAAGGTGTGCTATTGTATCTTGTATTTCAGCCTTCCAAATAAAGAAACAAGCAGAGCAACGGATGGCATTTTAGGATGCACTCTAACTGGACATTGTGTAGATATGGGAGGGGAATCTAAATGGGGCAGGAATGTTTACTTTAATTATAAGTTGATTGTCTGTTATTTTCAAACAGTGCTGATACAGTGCATTTGTATGCCTGTATCTGCTTTAACAACTGAAATAGTTGAATCAACCGATGAATGTAAAGATTGAACATACAGAACGTGATCGAGACATTTCCGAGTTGACACTACAGTACTGTATAAACATTTAAATAATCACTGCATTGTACTTCCAGTTGAACTGTACCATACATACAAAGACTGTTTGGGTTTAATTGTCTTGGGATTATTTTGGTTAACTTTTTATTTTGTCAAATTTGTATAACCTCACTTTTATGCTTTTTTTAATTATGCCATTTTTTCAGGATGGCTAAGAGAACTGCAGAGGCTTCAGCAATCCTTGAAAGAAGTGCTCAGAAGAAAAAAAGCAACAAGAAAGAGGATGAACTTCAAAGTGATGGAGAAGGTGATGGAGAAGATATCTCTGAAGATGAGATGATGCAGTCCTTAACAGATGAAGAAATGAGTAGTGATGAGGAATATTCTGATGAAGATGAGGAATTAATCAATTTTATGTACATTTATTTTTTGAATGGACCTAGTCCAAAACAGATGTGTATAAGAGACAGCATTGTTACAGTATAACAAAGTATCTTCTACGCTAACTTCATTACATTTTAGACCAATTTCAGACACAACTTTCGACTCTGCTCAGTGCATTAGCATAGGACTTAACGATGTAAACAACTTTTTTTTAATACTAAATCGGTCTCTGCATTGAATAACGAATCCAGGCGTGTAGGCAGGCAGTGTGGATGCACCCCTTACCCCATATTTCAAGAGGTCCATTTGATTTGCCAGCTCTTCTAACTGTTTTGATTTGTTAGAAATTGATCAGCTCTCGTGATTGCAGATTGATCCATATGAACAAAAATCTATGTTATATGCAGGTCTTCAGATGTAGTGGACATAAAATAATGCTTCTTCAGGTCCCTGACAACACCCAGGTGAATGACATTCAATGAGAATTTTCACAAATTATGGGATTCAAAAGTACATTAAATAAGGCCCTCAAAATACTACTTTGTTGGAGCTTCAGGTATCCCCAGGCTGCCATCATTAGGCTCACTTCATTCACAAAAAAATCCTGCATACGGGTATAGAATCCTTTTACATAGAATGACTTCCATTTCCGAAGTCCTGTTTGAGGTTTGTGCTAACAAATATTAATTTCATTAAGAAGTACAATGCAGTATATTAATGTAGTGTATAGTAGGATTGCTACAAATTTAATGGATACTTGGCCATTTTGTATTGAACTTATATATTTTTCCTATACAGCCAGCAGAAGATTATGAGAATGTAAACCTAGACTCGGATTCAGATGATGATAGTGATGAAGATGATGGCGGTGATGATGGTACTGACGATGATCAGGACCTATTACCGGTGGAAAAAGCTTCCAAAAAATTAGAGAAAAAAATGAAGAAACAAAGGTAAGTTTTGTTAGTAGGAACACAGCACATGCATACCAGTAGGCAACTCATCAATGTATAAAAATAGTGCATGTGAACAATGCATCCTGGATCAAATTAATCAATTTTATGTACATTCATAATAGTTTCACTATTAATTAAAACAATTAAACTGTTTTTATAATTAAAGTATAGTTTATTTTCTGGTTGAAACTCCAAAATTGACCATTTAGTTCAATCGTTACATACCCATTTTCTATTTGTGTGTTTCCCATGCAGTGTGGTTTCAGTATGCCTGTCTGCTATCCCCTATGCAGTCCCACTGCTTTCATTTTTATAACACCATGAAAATAATATTAGAAAATGAAACCCTACAGTTAAGCAATTTTTCAATTACAAAACATAGCAATTGTTGGTTAATGCTGCTGATACAGCTAATAGGATGATCAATTCAGTTAAATGTCATCTGTTTCCTTTGTTATTGTCCGTACCTTATACCACTGAGTGGCATAACGCTGCCCCAAAACCCTGGCTAATCTGATGTATGGAATATTTGAGTCTTTACAACCCACGATCCAGCCCAGAATAATAATGGCACTATGGAGACTCGGATAATAATTGTGAGTTTATATAGTGCATGTATAAAGATCCATATGCGCTTTCATAGCCGGAAGTTCAATAAATGTAGGTAATAAATTATTTTAGAATGATTTACTACTGTACTCTATAAATATTATTAAATCGATTCATTTATCAGCCCTGCCTAATACCCCGCTATTACACCGATGCGAGGTACAGTAGCCTGGATTGCAATTTATCGGGTGTATTTTGATAGAGCGCCATCAGCATCTTGCAACTTTTCACTGGTGGACTTCCAGCGGCCTATCCTTAGCAGCTGGCTAGTTACAAATTGAGCACTGCGTAGCAGATAGCGTCGCTAAACCTTTGCTATACTATATATAGCAGCAGTAGACAACAGATACGATCTTTTGCTAATTACAGTATGTAAACATAGAAATAGCTTTTTAAGACTTAAAAGTTATTTTTGATATCGAATGTTTCCTTCTTTTTCCTGTTTAAAAATATTTTTGCTCGTTATTAATTTAGTTTTATTGTTTAACTAATCCATGATGGTAGCTACGAAGAGGGAAATGCTAGGCCTCTGGAAGCACCCAGTGGTAGTTGCCAGGTTCTTCAGAATTTTTATTTCAAATTTGATTGAAAATGGTGTCATCTCATATGACAATATATTTGATGGTGCTTACGCCGAGTTGATGAAAACCATAGACTTGCATTGATAACCATCAATGAATGATAACATCTAGTCGTTCCTTTTGTTTTATAGGCAACTTGCAGACGCAGAGCTTCAGACCAGTATAACACAGACAGAGACCTACCGCTTGCCCAGTGGCCAGGAGATTGAGAAAGAAGATATCCTTTAATACTAAATTAATTAATTAATATTATTTATTCAGACAAAAAAAAAAGAGGTAGTTACCAATAGACACGAGGAAAGAAAACTCTTTGTTAAAATTACTAATAGCTAGCCGGTGGTCACAAAAGCAGGCCTAACATACTGTTGCCAAATTAGGCTTGCCATCCCAACACCAGCATCAGCGTTCAAATGTAAACATTGACTTATTCATATTTTCTTATAAGTTATTCTCCACATTATAAGCTCTAAAATGATGGGTCATTTACTGGACTAACTATTGCCATTGTCATGAGTAAAAGCATTATGGCTTCTCTGTGCTTAAGTATACAATTAGCGTCAGTGTGCTGGTTTTTTTTTTCATGGTAGTGAGTTTAATTTCCACTAACATTTTTTGGTAAGTATAGTGTGAATAATTTGTTTATTTGGTTGATTCTGTGTTAAATAGACAGAAAGCAGAAGGGAAGCTTTTCAATAAGATTTAGTTTATTTTTTATGTGCACTGTGTTCTTTAGTAAAATTGCATTATTTATTTATTCATGAATTGATCCAATTCAATATGACAGAGTTTTATAACAGCATTTATGCACACCATTTAAAGCATTTCTTCAGACTGCCAACATAATGTCTAGTTAGTTTAATTATATGCATTACATCAAAAGAATATTTATCTTTGACTGCTTCGCACCAACTCAACCACCAGACATCACAATTATTCACCAACGCATCAAAGAGATCTTAGAAGTGCTTGGCGATTTCACAAAAAGGAGAGAAGAAGGAGTGTAAGTTGAGAATGTTCTTTTTTTTAATCTTAGCAATTAGCCAATTTGTTCTTACCTCAGTAAAAAAATAGTATTAAATATAGAATATATGTACTTTATATTAAAGAAAACCAAATGTAAAAATCTTATCTTGTATTTGTTTGCTAGGCCTAATGTTAGCTTTCTTTACTCTATCTTATTTTAGACCAAGATCTGAATACATCCAGCGTTTGACATCTGACCTTTGCACCTACTACAGTTACAATGATTATCTTATGAATAAGCTAATACAGTTATTCCCACTGTCAGAGGTAAGCAATGTCAACCATCAATCATCTCTTTTTAAAATTGTGTCTTGAACTATTGTAATTTTCAGTGAATTAATTTTAATGAAATATGTTGTAACAATCTCAACAAGAAGCTTCGGTTACTATAAACTGGTCAGTTTGCTAAAACTATTATCATGTCTCAACTCCAAGCATGTTAAACAACAATGTTTACAGGCATTGCAGGCTTGATGACAATTGGTCACCTCATTAGGCCAACACACTTGCGACCGTCTTGTTTCCCTGGATGTCTTGTATTTATTTCTTAAACTACTTATAAAGTAATCTGCTTACTGGGATTATAGCATGGTAGAGAATCTGTAAGGCAAGTAACACATTTTTAATTAAAAATTTAAATAATTATTTAATATACTAAGAATTACAATCTTAGAAACAATCGTGAATTTGTTCTTTCTAAAGTGAACACGGAACGTTTTAAACGTTATATTACTATGCGGGGAGTATTCCGAAGGTGGCAAGCCTCATAAGTATTGTTAAACTTCAATCATTTGTTATATATAATTGGAATACATAAACACAGATCTCCGGTTGGCGGTGATGGTGTAACTCCATACTTCGGTTTGGGTGCTAGCTTGGTGTTTTATTGTTGTTGTTTTTTTCTGTTTTCTTGACTACAATATTGTTGAGCGCATAGAGACCTCATTTATTTGCGCTATATAAATCCATCTATTATTATTATTATTATTATTATTATTATAAAGTAATGTTGAGTTTAAGTTTGAGTTTAATAAATAAATGGAATTATGTGATCCTTTATAGACTAAAGGCTGTCAAGGTTATTACATTTTCTTGGACAAAAATACTTTTGTGTGCCCATATATGGTCATGATGTGATGTCATCATTACCATATTTGCAGTAGACATGTCATATGTTTTTTGTCAAATAAAATTTGATAATCTATACAGGGCTTAAGGTTCATCACGAGGCTTAAAAGTAAAAACAAATAAAATAGCATAAACATTCCTCCGTCAGTTTTCAGACTGTTAAATAATAACTATCCTTTAATATTTTGCATAGAAGTCCCACTAAATTGTCTGTTACTCAATTTAAGGATTTCTTTAGTAAAATGGCTGTAAATCACTTTAAGCTGCTTTTGTTCAATCTGTTGCTTGTTGGAGTTTATATGATCCTTTCAAATAAGCTATTCAAAATTTTACTTGAAATTTTGAGACATTTTTTGACTGATGAGAGTACATCCCTGGATCCTGGGATTAGAAGACAATCATCTTAACCGCTATGCTACATCCCTGGATCCTGGGATTAGAAGAAAATCATCTTAACCACTATGCTACATACAGCACAACTGAAATACTGTCATCCAACAGGAATCGCACTCATATTTCATTGTGAAGAGAAATGTGTCGCTCTTGTCAATTTTAGGCTGAGGAACTTGAGAAAATTGTTGTTTGCTTAAGCATCTGACATACCAGCTAAAGATTCAACTATTTGTATAATTTATACTTTTTATCTTTTTCTTTCAGCTTGTTGAATTCCTGGAAGCAAATGAAGTTCAACGACCTTTGACTATTAGAACAAATACACTGAAAACAAGGCGCCGAGACTTAGCTCAGGTAGGACATTGAACCCTCTAAGGTACCCCTTAATCTTAACATATGTTGGCTCTTTAGGGGGAGTTTTATTGTAGCATTCAAACTGAAGATCCTCTGATACCATTTGGTTATTCTAATTAACTGAGACATAAAGGTCATCCTACAGTAGAACTCTATTGGATTTTTCCATAAGGACACATGTGAGTTTTTGAAGTATAGAATACTTTTTTTTTTTTCTCCACTTTTTTTTTGTAATTTTGAAAACTTTAGGGGTGGGGACCCAGGCTGGCTGGCTAGTATTACATAATATGCAATAAATAAAAGAAAGATCACATGTATTAACTTTGTTTTTCATTTGTAGGCTCTCATTAATAGAGGTGTGAATTTAGATCCTGTTGGAAAGTGGTCTAAAGTCGGATTGGTTGTGTACGATTCAGCTGTACCAATTGGTAAGTTATCAAGGCCAGCTGACTTTTGGAGAGAAGTAATTAATATAATGTATAATGAATACACCTCTTATCATTATCATATTACAGTAGAACCTCGTTTTTACGTACCCCAGTTATACAAACCCTTGGTTTTATGTACGCCTCGTTTCGACGATGACGTCATAAAAAAAACCACGAAAATATTCAAAACAAACAGCCCTTTTCAGAGCCACCATAAGTATAAAAAGATTTGTTACTTCTGTCTACATAATACTAAAACAATAAACAAACCATATGCAACTTATTTTCTTTAAACAGCAACGTTGATTGAGTTTAATACCGGGCTGTTATAATCTAAAACATCGTGAACAGAGCGAGATGAACAACCACCGATGGTGCTCAAAATAATTGCTTTCCTCCTTAGCTTCGTGTGGAAAACTTGTCTGGTCGAATTTTCTACACGAATCTGAGTAGGCATAATGTCGTACACGAACGCTAATTGGTTGGCTCGCCCAGTGCATTGCATGTGGTTGCTGTTTCATGTACACGAACGCTAATTGGTTGGCTCGCCCATTGCAGTGCACATGTTTTAGTTTGTCCAGACATCGCAACAGTTTAGAATAGCCATGAAGGGGAATTCCCAATCTTACAATTATTTTCATGTTCTTTAGTTAAATAAAAGATATAAAGTGATGAATTAATACACTAGACACATGGTTTTATTTGAACACTTTATTATGATATCGTAAAATGATGAATAAAATAAACACATGGTTTTTTTCATAGGCCTAGAGGCTAGGTCTAGCCTAGCTAGGTAACATCGTTCATTCATACATACGTATATTGAGCGTTACGTACGTATTGGGTCAAAGGTCACCACAAATTTAATCCAAACTCAATTTTACGAATCCCCTGATTTACGTACGCCCTACCGACAAACCATTAATCCTAATTAATTATTATGATGTATCGTCATTTTTTTTTGTAAATTTTAATTGATAATTAAATATGTGTTCGATAGCTAATATAATGCCAGTTTTTGTGTTTGTAGTGTGTGTGTGTAAATTATTAGGTTTTAAAATGCCTATTCCGGAAAGCTTATTCTAAACTTTTAAGATTATGAAGTCATTCAGGCATAATGACCGCTTTACCAACGTCTGGTTGACAACAAAGGGCACCACCTGGTGTTGTGACGACAATTACATTGTACTCTATAGAATACCACAGTCGTGTCATCACAACGCCAGATGGCGCTCTCTGTTGTCAACGGACGTTGGTTACCATTCATTACATCTGAATGACTTCATAGGCTTTCTGGAATAGGCATTTTGAAATCTAATATTTTACCATCAAAATGTACTAAAAACACAAAAGCTCGCATTATATTAGTAATCGAACGCACATTTAATCATCAATTAAAATTTATAAAGAAAAAGTAAGATACAACATCTTAATAATTACGTTAGAAATTGGGATCAATGGTTTGTCAGTGAAGAAAATGGTGTCCGTTTAAACACCAATTGCAACCACGGCAATGGAGTAGTATCACGTGGTATCGTGACGTAACACTGTAGTACTCTACAATAAACAATAAAATAAATATTAAGTTGTATCTTGTAAGTTTTCTTGGTTATGCGGCAGATTATGGGACAGCCCATTTAAATAAGTATTATTAATGGTAACTATTCCATTTTGTGTGTGTGGTAGGTGCCACGCCAGAGTACCTAGCAGGGCATTATGTACTTCAGAGCGCCTCCAGTTTCCTACCTGTCATGGCCCTAGCACCTCAGGATAATGAGCGGATATTGGATATGTGCTCGGCTCCGGGTGGCAAAACTACTTATATTGGTAAGTGCTCATATTTTAGTTATTATACACTTACCTTTATATTTAGGGTATATTATTTTATAAATTTTTTAAACATCTTTTCTTGAATCAGTAATAATCTTAAATTAACTTATAATGATTCTAATCCTGATCAATTTATTAAAATTAAACTGAATGTATTTCCACAGTTGAACATTGTTTTCTTGATGCTATAATAATAATTATTAGAGAGCTTTCGTGATCTCGCGTTCGTGAACCAATCCACTAAGAAAATTTCCTGTTTCCTTTCCTGTTAAAAAAAAAAACCTGCTTCACATTCCCCAGAGACTGTCTCTTATACACATCTTTTATATGATCCTTTCAAATAAGCTATTCAAAATTTTACTTGAAATTTTGAGACATTTTTTGACTGATGAGAGTACATCCCTGGATCCTGGGATTAGAAGACAATCATCTTAACCACTATGCTACATCCCTGGATCCTGGGATTAGAAGAAAATCATCTTAACCACTATGCTACACAAGCAACATACCGTGCCCTTCATGGTGAAGTTTGTAAGCCTACTGATTAAAATGTAACTTAAATATTTTTTCTTGGTTGTGAGGTAAATAAACAGTACACTTGAAATTAAGTAACTCTTGTTTTGTTTGAAGCAACTGTACAGAAATTAGGATATAATTGCCATCTTAATTTTTTGTCACCAATGAATAGCGTCCCTATTTTTGATATTCGAATGTTTGCAGGTATGTAAATATACAGCATTTGATGGACGGACCTGTCTGGGGGTGTAGGTGTACGTAAAAACATTAGAAACCATTACTGGACTGATATCCCTCTAAACTACATTTACGTACAAAGGAACGTACACACCCGCAGGGTTCTGGTTTTGAATCAGTAATAATCTTAAATTAACTTATAATGATTCTAATCCTGATCAATTAATTAAAATTAAACTGAATTTATTTCCACAGTTGAACATTGTTTTCTTGATGCTATGATAATAATTATTAGAGAGCTTTCGTGATCTCGCGTTCGTGAACCAATCCACTAAGAAAATTTCCTGTTTCCTTTCCTGTTAAAAAAAAAAACCTGCTTCACATTCCCCAGAGAACCAAGCTCATGGTGGCAGACGGCCGTTCCAAGGAATAACAAGGTAATTGCACAAAAATAAAGCAGTTATGTTGTTTTTCCATGGGACGGCCGCACAGCAGCCTGTTGCTACAGCCGTTGCACAGTGACTGATGTAATGGTACATTTTTGGTTTGGGATCCAGCTGCTGAATCTGGGTTCGGAGTACTTGATAAACTGGTCCTCAACCTGTAACGTCATACACAAAAATATGCAGTTTCCTTGGTGGATTGGTTCTTGAACAAGATAACAAAAGCTGTGTATTACAGTAATTCAGATGCTACATGATAATCAAACAGTAACTAATTTTATTTTTATTTTATGTACTTGTTGAATTACAGCATCTCTGATGAAAAATACAGGAATGCTTTTCGCAAATGACTTCAACAAGGAGAGAATCAAGGCAGTTGTGGGTAATCTGCATCGATGTGGTGTTACTAACACTGTTGTTAGTAATTATGATGGCAGGTCATTTCCTAAAGTAAGTCATTTACCATCATAGTATTATAATAGAAATGTTGATTACCAGCATTCCCCGAAATTCAACTTTATCTCACTTTGTGATGAAGATTTTTTTTTTTTTTAAATTGTATAACGCATAAAAAATGTTTGTATTATAAAAACATTTGTGTCATTTAACATAAGGTTTGTTTAAACATTACACAACATTTATCTAATTTCGCTTTGCAAAAAGTAGAATCTGTTATAACTTCAAAATTCAATTTTGTGAGGAACTTGCACATGAAAATTAAACTGTGCATTCGTACAGTCAAATGCTTATGCTTTGTGTGAATAAATTCGCTTTGTGTGAATAAATTCCCTTAGTGAAAAACCGGCTTTAAACCATAAATTGATGAAAGTGCTGCAGTAATAGAAACATCAAATTTTTATCATAAATGTTGCTCATTGTTAAATTAAAAATTGACTTACCTGTACTTGATATATAATTGAGTTTGAGTGCTGTATATAGTCAGTGCAATATACATACAGCTTGCCCTCCAATTCGAGACCACCTTTGGGACCTGAAAATTTGGGGTCTTCTCGGGGAAAGTCTCTAAGTAGAGGGGTAGCTTTGTGTTAAAAGGTTGAAGATTGTTATTTGGGTCTTTGGAAAAGTGGTCTCGAATTAGAGGGTCTCCTTATAGAGTACCACAGTTGTGTTTTCACAACACCCGGCGGCGTTCTCTGTTGTCAACAGACATTGGTTACCGTTCATTACGCCTGAATGACTTCATAGGCTTTCTGGAATAGGCATTTTAATAACTAATATTTACCATCAAAATTTACTAAAAACACAAAAGCTTGCATTATATTAGTTATTGAACACACATTTAATCATCATTTAAAATTTACAAAGAAAAAGTAAGATATAACATCTTAATAATTACGTTAGAAATTGGGATTAGTGGTTTGTCGGTGGGAAAATTGGCGCCCGGTTGAACGCTTTTTGAAACGATAGCAATGGAGTAGTATCACATCGTATCGTGACGTAACACTGTAGTACTCTATAAATGGAGTACCGAAAGTTTATTGTACTTATTTTATTATTTTGTTTTTTTGTTATCAGGTGATTGGTGGTTTTGATAGGGTGTTACTTGATGCACCTTGTAGTGGCACAGGAGTGATTGCTAAAGACACAGCAGTCAAGACAAACAAGGATGAGAAAGACATTCTTCGCTGTTCACATCTCCAGAAGGAACTCATACTGGCTGCCATTGACTCCATGGATGCTAAATCCAGCACTGGTGGATATCTTGTCTATTCTACATGTTCAATTATGGTGAGAATATTTATTAAGGCAGTGGCTATTGTTATACCAGTATACAGTAATTCCTAATTCCCATTGAATATTAATTTATGTATGATCACTTGTCTAATAGCTGTACTGTCAAGTTTGCCATCCTTCAAAATTGGTCCCGTTGTCTTCTGTGCAATGATTAATTAGTCTGTCCTTGTCGACAAACTTAATAATCTTGTAAAACAATTTATAATGATCTTACTTTAATCGAGTAACGCAAAATTGTGAATTCGTCTGAACTTTAATCTTTGCTACATGACTGGACTTTAGATAGTAATATGAAACGTAACCCTAACTTCATTCCTTTGTCTGTTGTTTTGAAAGATCATGTTTTGAAAACAGTTGACATGTTAATGTGCTTGAAGTTATTCTTCAAGCTATTTTAAATGGGATTGACATGTTGATTATATTGTTGATAAGGCAAATAGTAAACAGAAAAGATACAATGTAGCATTCTACATGTAGGTACTTGTATTGGTAGTACTACTTGCTTAAAGCTTTGTCATGTGTCTCTCTTATCACTCCATACTGGTTTAGCCTAACCACAATGTTCATTCCTACCTTATATTTTACACCAGGTTGAGGAAAATGAGTGCGTAATAGACTATGCATTGAAAAAGAGATGTGTTAAGCTTGTCAGCACAGGCTTAGAGTTTGGAAAAGATGGTTTTACAAGGTATGTAAATGTAAATTGGACTTTCAAGTTGAATACAATATGCTAATTTAGGGAATAGTTATTTGTTTACGATTTATAGTTTGAACTGTTACGTACATAATCAGTGAGTAGGGACAGTTTGGCGCAGCGATTGCGGTTCTGCTTCTCAACCTTAAAGTTCAGATGTTCAATCTCTCGCTGTGAATTTCGCTTATGTCCTTAGGCATTTTACCTACGGCTGTTACTTACCATCCAGTAGTACAAGTGGGCATCTGGTAGGTTCAAACACAAAATGCGCTAATTACTGCTGCAACGTTATGGAATTCTCTCCAGGGAGCTGAGTATGTGTTCCATATGTGTTTTATCCAATGACCGGAAGTAATAATGTTACGTGCATAGAGGTCTCCACAATATGCGCTTTTTAAGTCGATCATTATTATTATTATTATTATTATTATATTATCAATTCTTTTAATTTATTTATATTTATTCAATCATATTTAACTCAAAGTACAAGTTAATGAGCAATAGGGGCCCTCTAAAAACAAGAAAAGAAAATCTTTATAACTTGTATTCCTAAGTAAAATTGTTTGTAAAACTGCATCAATTCTAAGTGAATTTCTTTTTAAAATTAAAGTATCTGTGTTCCTTCCAATTTTAAAGTTATTCATTGAAGTGTCTTTACACATTTCATTTTTTGGAGTGATATACAAAATCTTAGTTCTTTTTAGATAAAGCTAAATGCATTAAGTATACATCTTGGTATTTTATTGCATTCTTTGTTTTGTCAATAATTAAGGTATTATTGATTTCAAACTATTCCAATATGTGTATAACTAAAAGCATGTACTACAGGTATATTCATTCTTGACAATGTTCTAATGGACTATTATCATTCTTGACAATGTTCTAATGGACTATATTCATTCTTGAAAATGTTCTAATAAAGAACGACACGTAGAATCAAATATGACCTCACGTTTGTAATTTTTTGGAGTTACCATACTCATACAGTCAACTCTCCCAATACCGACCACCCTTCGGACCGTCCACTTTGACCGGTTTTCCGGACGGACCGGTTTAGAGAACGTCATGTTTTAACCTACCTTGGTTCCCCGACCTTGAGTCGATAATAAGCCTAGGCCTAGCAAGGTACAGCAGATAGGTACAGCACACTGCATCATGTACTGTGTAGGCCTACTGACTGACTGTCATTTAAAATTCATGTTTTACTTTATTTTTACATTATTTATGTTTTACGTACCTATATTTTTGTGTCGAAGTCATATTATCAATAAAAATTTACACAAATCAACTTAATTGTGTATCGTAATTTATAATAAGTGTCAGTGTTATTTTTCGTTCGATCGCCATAACCTGCTTCGCTTCAACGTGGTTGCACGCTTGATTGGTTTTCGATGCCGCTGGCATAACCTTGGTGGGTCACTGAATGCTAAAAATAAGTGCTAACTTATGCAGCGCCCCCTAAACTGCGTTAGCCAATAGAAAACAGTCAGAGGTATGCGCAATTGTTTTTATGAAATCAATAGCCTAATGTTGGGACCGCTTGGTTTGCCTTAGCGTGAGAATGAATGCAAAATGTGAGAAAAGGATACGTTCCTTAATAAAGAAAACACACTCATGAACTTTTTTTTATCAGTTTTTAAACAAATGAAATCTAGGCTTATTGCAATTAATTAATTATGTGCTACCGGCGTGTCATACGATCAACACTAACAATTGTACACATGGTGTTGTTCTGTGATTGATACAGTAGTTGTTATTTGGAGTCAGTCGATGTGTGTCCGATGATTTATTTAACATATTTCGTCAATAAATCATCGTTTTAAACTGGCCGTCCGGTTTTCTGAAGGTAATTTTATTGTTCCGGACTTAAGAATTTGGCCGGAATTCGGAATTGGGAGATCCGGTTTTCAGAAAGTATTTTAATACAGTAAGAATAGGAATGATTTTGGGACTTTCAAAAACGACCGGTTTTGCGTGAAATCCGGTTTTCTGGGTGGTCGGTATTAGGAGAGTTGACTGTATTTACAAATAATCAGTCGATCCTTTGGTAAAAGCAAAGTAGCTACTGTACATGTGGTAATTAAAATCCTATGCTTCTACTATATATATATATATATATGGTCTTGAGATTTGAGAGTGTGCTTACTGCAGTTTTAATTTAACATTATATATATATATATATATATAATATATATAATGAAGTACATAGATTGTGACAGTTTATCAGAACAAAAGTATGTTAATTACCAAGTGATTAAGTCTCTATTGTTTAGATGGATAAAAGAAAGCCTATAAACAATAGAGACTTAATCACTTGGTAATTAACATAC